GACTCCCGCATGATGACTACACTGAACAGCGGCAGGATGACCGGTCCACCTCTCCGATGTGGATCTAACGGTGGATTGCGTCAAATCTGCTCTCATAGATCCACACCGGGGATGGGGGCCGGGATCCGACCACAGTTTGCTTGTAGGGCATCATATGATGTGTCGATATAACCGACATCCAGAACTGCTTGGTGAACATCTCGTGCTACGCCAATAAGTTTCAAACACGGTCCCAAAGTCCTCTAAGAATGTTCATTGTCAGTTCCTCACGTCGTCGATTCCCACGTGATGAGTACAATAAACAACGGCAGAATGGTAGGTCCCCCTCGCCGGAATGGATCTAATAGTGGATTGCGTCAAATCTGCTCTCAAAGATCCACACCGGATAAAAGGTCCTGCAATCAGCCGCTGCTTGCTGGTAAGTATCATATGATGTGTCCATACGATCGACATCCAAAACTGTTTGGTGAGCATTTAGTGCTACGCCAAGCAGTTCTGCCGCAAGGTCCCCTAAGAATGCTTTTAGCACTAGAGACCTGAGACCGCCGACTGTTTGGCACTTCTTGAAGGTGGTCATTTCAACCGATGCAGAGGGCTCGTGGTCACTTCCATTGCTTGTATACGTGCCCGTGGGTGCTCGGCCTAGCATACATGTAGTGCTGTTTGACACTTCCTTACGGTTCTCTGTCGAATGTTGTTCAACCAGAGTCTCTCTCTCTCTCTCTGTCTCTGTCTCTCTCTCTCCTGCCATGCCCGTTGATGTGCCTCTCGCCCGACTGGGTGCAGTGCGGCCGTGCTGTGGTGGTCGTGTTCAACAAGACACCTGTCATCGGAGTTTCGACGGACGTCCTTGGGGGGCATGGTTATTTTCTTTCCCTGTGAGCTGGGTGAAAGCATTTGCTTAATTTATTTTTGTTGTGGCCTGCAGGGCATTTGCCGGTCGCGATGGCCATGTCGGAGTTGATTATCCTGGGTGATTGGCATGAGCGCATGGCATACCCTTTCCCCCCATGCGCGCTGCGCATCTCCGGCAGTGGAAACTCCACTGTTATTGACGGTGCGACAAGAGACGAGATGGAGTGTGATCCTTGGATGAAGGTCCCCCCATTCACTGATGCTCCCCTGGACTCGTGGAAGGAGCTTGAATGGGACATAATGCTCAGGGAGTGTCCGTGGGCGGACAACTACAAGTTCGCTAACATGTGCGAGTTTGGGAGTTTCATTCCCGTGCCTAGAGTTGTGTTCGGTTCAGTTCGGTGCCGTTGCTTGAGTGCAAAGCTGAATATTCCTCGGCATCAAAATGTGTTGGCCTGCAGTGTCATGACTGCTTCGACGCGCACATGGTCCCGCTCGCTGAAACACGAGTTGCTTGTCTGTGCACGACATTCCGAGTTCCTCGATCAGTACTCGTTGGGCTCTCCAGGGCTGTCGCCTCGAGCAGTTTCCTACTGCTGCGTTAGATTGCGTCTCGAAAAGTTATTCTTATCTAGGGCCCTTTGCGTCACGTGTTCGAATCGGAGTAGGACCTTGACTGGTGTTGTGGTCTACGTGTCCAGGAATGAGTTGCACCTCGGGAGAGACATTATCGGTTTGGTCACAATAGAATACGAAGGGACATGGGATTTGGTAATCGGGGGTAAGGTGGACGATGTGGACGCTTGGCGTGAGGTTGAAAGTCAAGCGTCCTCTATACGGGATGCTATAGGGAGGTCTCTGGCCGGAATGACCGGTTTCGTTCGCATGAAATATATTTCTATGTTCGCGGAAGATGCTCAAGTTGATGCGCCGCAGTGTCTTACATTCGGGTCGCCTCTTTGAACTTTGAATGAACGCATGTACACACCGGTCTGTCGTCATCGGTAGAAGTGAAAGTTCTGAACGGATGTTGTGTATCGTGTCCATGCACAAAAATGACGATAATGTCATCAGGGTATACAAAAAAGACACGCGGATTTCCTTATACATTATACACATGAGCTCATGGTGTGACCATCTATCTCTCCATCTAAGTGCGAGTTCACTCGCACTTGCTGTGTGCACCCCGAGCATTCCACTTCAGTGGTATGACCACCTAGCTCTCCATCTAACTGCGAGTTCACTCGCACTTGTGCTCTGAACCACGAGCAATCCGCTTAAGTGAATGTCATGAATCTATGTTGCAAATTCGTCCATGCAAAAATTTGATGACGTTTTCATCTGGGATTATACAAATGACAAGCTAGTGTTCATATTTAATCATCACTCTGATGGTGTGTGCACCTGCCTCTCCATCCGACTGCGAGTTCACTCATACGTAAGTCAGAGTTCACTCGCACTTTGCTTAAGTGAGGAGTTTGTCGATATATAGTACGGGGCGTGACAATTGAGTGTTGGCCGCACCAGAAGACTTATCATTGGCCAACTTTATTTACGACGGTTTACACGTCCGTATGTGTCGTTTGTGTGTGCGTGATGTGTAGGGAGCGTAATGTCGTCGGCACCTTCGACAAGTGTCAGCATGAGTCCCGAGACGCACATTCACTTGAGTCCCGAGAAACACATGCGGTTAGCAAGACCGTTTTCACCTTATGCGAGATCAGTGCGGCATCATGACGGTCAAACGTGGATCGACGGAGCAACCGAGGAGGACTTCGACAAGGACCCATGGATGACCGTCGTCCCGTACATGAACCGGCATCTCGACGAATGAAACGATAATGATTGGAAGGCGATGGAGCGTGCCTGCCCTTGGGCAAGCGATTATAAGTTTGCCAACATGTTAGAGTTCGGGAGCCTCATTGCACTGCCTAATGGTGTCCTCCAGCGAACGATAAGGGTAAACCGATCCGCTACCGTATCAGCTTCAGTCGTCGCCTCCACTGCGAGTACATCACATCTTTGCCACGAACTTGGGGAAGTTCGCAGAAGCAAGAGTTGGTGGACTGCGCTCGTCATTGTTCATTCTTGGAACACTACCCACTCCGTTGCCCAGGGACTTCTCTACAAACTATATCGTATTGGTGTGTGCGGTTGACTAATTACGGATGTCCTTTCGCCAGAGTGCTATGTGTGGCTACTTCAGACAAAAGTAGAAAACTCGTGGAGGCAGTTGTGCTCGTGTCACGGAACGACATGGTACAACAGGATTACAAATTCAAGCCGGTGATGTCTCACCCCGATGTAGATGGGCGGTCAGATTTTGTGAGAGCAGGTCAGGTCACATGTTTAGAATTGTTTTATGAGGTGGAAGAGAAAGTGTCCGACATACGAGACTGCATAGGGAATTCCTTAGCACGACCCGGAGGGTTTGTTAGGATGAAATACATGTCCGTGTTTTCGGAGAATGCAACAGTCGACGAGCCGCAGATCCATGTGTAAGGATCATCTATGAATGCTATGTATGGCTTCCGTTGACGACCTCGTCTGCGGGAATCCGCGTATGTCACAAGATACGGACGTGTGGTCAGACCTTGTATTTAAGGGAAAACGTGTTGAAATACAATCTTGTGGAACATGATGTGCATGTGGATGTGCACCTTGAAATGGTGGATATGAAGTAGCAGATAGAGGTGCGAGAGGCAGTAGTTGCAATAGGTGCGAGAGACAATGTGTGATTGACTGGTTTTTTGCTTTGAATGTTTTTCCAAAAACAACCCCTGTTCAGTGATTTGAACATTTCTCGCAACTCTGCGTGCGGTGTTTCCATTTACGAAGGTGCAAGGTTGCGAGTGTTTCCATGTCCACGTTGTGGTGACAAGAGTAAATCTTCTGAATGGATGTTATGTATCTTGTCCATGCAAAGAAATGACACGCCGATGACCTTGCAAGTGTTTCGATCTCCGATGTTCATGCCAATGTTTTACAGTCCTATACATGCTCATGTGAAGGAGGGGATCCATGTTTGCGATGACAAGAGTGAATGTCAGAAATCTATGTTATTGATTTGTCCATGCAAATGACAAGCCAGCATCCGTATTGTATCAGCGCGCTGATGGTGTGCGTTCATGTTGTCCATCTAAATGAAAGTTCACTCCGACTTGTGCTGTGTACCCCGAGCAATCCGCTAGTTGTCCATGCAAATGTCCAAGAACTGATAACCTGCGGGATYTGGAGTTCAATTCTGTTTCTTGAGTGCGAAACTCTGCTCGAAACAGATCCAAATCCAAGAGGAAGTCCCGCCACAGACCAAGGTTCCCTTATAGTGCGTGGCCATCCACACAGACCGCCAACGACTGTTTGACCCTTGTTAAAGGTGCTCAGTCACCAAACCGATATCTGCGAATTGATTCGCTGTTCAAGTAGTATCTGTCGATGCCTTTCCAGGTTAAAGCAAAGAGCTTTCTCTCTCTCTCTCTCTCTCTCTCTCTCTCTCTCTCTCTCTCTCTCTCTCACGAACAGTGCTATTGGCAATCGGCATCGAGAGAAAACGGCTGTTTGCCACTTCCTTAAGGTGCTCTGTCGAACACCACCAACTATTATCTGTCAACTGGTGGACACATTTGTTGCAGGGGTACTGAAGGGCAGCTTGCCAAATGTCGTGCACCTGGCTGGGTGTTCCGCCCGACCACAGTTGCCAGGTTCAGTCCTTCAACTTGCAAGGTGTCGGGCGCCGGACCCCTGACCTTTTATGGAAAACAGGCACCACATACCCAACACGATGCCCTTTTGAATCGTGTACTGTCTGTCACAGCAACACTAAGCAAGTGGTGTGCGTTCATATTGTCCATCTAAATGAGAGTTCACTCCGACTTCTGGTGTGTACCCCGACAACACCACAAGCAATGTCCAAGAACTGCTAACCTGCGGGATCTGGAGTTCAATTATGTTTCTTGAGTGCGAAACTCTGCTCGAAACAGATCCAAATCCAACAGGAAGTCCCACCACAGACCATCAAACCTTCCCCCGGTGGCGGACTTCAGCATCCAAGACTGCCCAGCAACTGCTAACCTGCGGCAAGCAAATCCACACCCAGCATCAAGGTTCCCTTAGAGTGCGTTGCCATCTGCACGTCGACTGTTTGACACTTGTTGAAGGTGCTCAGTCACCAAACCGATACCTGCTCTGTCAATGCATTTCCGGGTTAAAACAAGGAGCTCTCTCTCTCTCTCTCTCTCTCTCTCTCTCTCTCTCTCTCTCTCTCTCTCTCTCTCACGACCCGGAATCAGATCTCGCATCAAGATTCCCTAAGAGTGCTAATGACAATCCATACAGACAACCAATGACTCTTTCACACTTCTTCAAGCTGCTCGATCGCCAAACAGATCAGGAACCAGCATCAAGGCCCCCTAACAGTGCTATTGGCAATCGGCATCGAGAGCGAACGACTGTTGGCCACTTCCTTAAGGTGCTCTGTCGAACACCACTAACTCCCGAATCATTCGGTGACACTTTTCAACTACTATTTGTCAACCGGAGAAGGAGGTCCTTCCGGGAAGATAAATGGTGGACACAATTGTTGCAGGGGTACTGACAAGTTCAACTTGCCAAATGTCGTGCACCAGGCTGGGTGTTCCGCCCGACCACAGTTGACAGGTTCAGTCCATCAACTTGCAAGGTGTCGGGCACCGGATCCCTGACCTTTTATGGAAAACAGGCACCACATACCCAACACGATGCCCTTTTGAATCGTGTACTGTCTGTCACAGCAACACTAAGCCAGGACAACATTGTCAAGGTGTCATACAAAGAGCCCCTGCCCTTTTTTACACTGTGTTAATTCGCATTTAATAACGACTATTCATGTATGAAGGGCTCAAAACGCCCCGCCGCAACATTTGCCATGTCAACACCTCATATACTGACCATTTAAAGTGTTGCATGATGCCCTATTGGGCCATGTACTGAGTGTTTATTCGCAGTCGAAATAGTTCACTTTTTGACAAAAAGTTCATTTTTTACGAAATGTGTATTGCATGCGATGTGTAACACTCCAGCAAGCTGTGAACAGTCAGGTTCCTTGCACCTTTGTCACAACCATTTAGTTTATACAATTGGGAAATGATAGAATGAGTTTAAAGGGATTACTCCTCAGGCAGCGTTTCTGCTGCCTGTGCTTACAGCGTCGCTGGGGGACTAGAAGTGTGAAAGGGAATTGTCAAACTACCAGTACGCTGCCCAGCCATTGATGCGGAGCCTAAATTTGCCCTGCGTGCCAAAAAAAAAACGAACGGGCGTGGGCCTTCTTTTAGCTGGCACCACCAGCCATTGTGGTCCGGTACCTCAACCACCGAAAAATGTGCTCTTTTTTTTTTTTTTTTTTTTTTTTTTTAAACGCCCCCGGCAGTGTCAATGAAGGAGTCAATTGAACTCAATTCATGGACCAAACAGACAAACAGACAAACTAACAATAAAAAGAAAAAGAAAAAAAGGAAAAAAAAAAAGAAAGGAGAAGAGTGAATAATGAAGGTTCGATGCATTGAAACTTTGTTCAATTTTGATGATATGATGTGTCTTCCGCGTGCATTCTTGTCCAGAGCTTGTTGATCAACATGGAACCGTCGTCACTGAAAAGACAGAATCAGAACCGCCTGCTGGTACACAGAAGAAATCTGGCAAAGGAAAGAAAACCCCACGCAAAGATCTGAAAGACAGAGGGACGCCATCACCCAGACCAGGGGGTGGGAAAGGCCAAAAGGGTGGGGGAAATGACGGTGGCGCTGGCACGGGCGCTGGTGCAGGCAAGGGATCAGCTTTGCCTGACAGCTCATCAACTGTTCAAGATTCAGCACCTGAGTACAATAAGAGGGTGAACGAAAAACTGTTTCCATCCTTGGTCGTCCGGTTGGATGGCCAAAGTGATACGCTTCTCGGACGCATCGCACAGATACCATCGGAAAGCAATATGGTCAAGCATGACAATCCGAGAGGTAACGTTAAATCTCAAAAACAATGTATTGTGTGATTACAATCCAACAACAATGGAAGAGGAAAAAAAGCTTGCACTTTTATCATCTTAGTGCTACTAAACTGACGTAAAGAGACATCTCAAAAGAAAAATCATGACCTTTGGATTGTACATCATAGTGATAGAGGAGGGAATCCCAAGGTACGTCTCAAGAGACATCGCAACAAAAAAGACTTCAACTCCATAAGTTTGTGTTATGCTAATCCAAAAGGTACATCTCCACAACACATCACCAATAGACTGGAGCCAACAGGTGGCCTGCTAGTGGTGGTAGACTCTTAACACCATCTCTAGCAGGGTCATCTGAGGTTAAAAAAAAAAAAAAAAAAAGGTGTTGAAAGCCCGAGGCTGTCTCTTATACACATCTAGATGTGTATAAGAGACAGATCTAACTCCGGAATCATCGGCAGAATGTACATCTTAATGCCAGATGATACCTTCCGATGGCGATAGACGAGGACCTGGAGTATAAAGATCTTAGCTTTGTACTATGATCTTCAGCCCTTTATTTATTATTATTATTTTTTTTTTAAACATTCCTTCTTATATATTACCAAAGGAAAATAATAGAGGCTGGGGTCCTCACAGTCTACCCGGGGAATAGAACCTCTGGGAGCATTACCCAGTTTCTCTTTTGACGGGACCAACTAGGACCCGAGAAACCTTAACCTTCAGCCCTTTATAACTCTTTAAAGTGTTCACCTATAGCTGGCCTCCATTTCGCCCACCTTGGCCTTTTGAGAAGCTTTGGCTTTGCAAAAAAAAAAAAATAATATTAGGCTACCAGAGTGGCCCGGGGTAGCTTGCCCGGCCGGGCCGAAAACAATTAAAAAAAAAATAATAATAAAAAATTAAAATTTATTTATTTTTTTCCCTAAATTTGGTGCAGAATTTCGATGTGACTCTGAGGCAAAAGTTGTTCAGTTTATTTTTCTGCATAACATACTTTTTGTTTCGGATTTGTTTGATTTTTTTTATTTATTTATTTTTTTTGCTGGGACCTTCCCTGGTCCTTGCACGGGCTGGCCACCGGGACCCGGGCGGCCCGGCTGGTAGCCTAGTTAATAATACTAATTCTTTTGTTCTGTTGTACTATCTGTAGTCAATGTATCTGAGTTAACTTTGAATACCAAATGGTTGTAACTATAGTAGTTGTGGTCCTGTATCCTCGGAAAAAAAACACCACACTATAATCACAAGTTTTGATAGGCTTGTGCGGAAGCCTTGTGCTTTGAATGCTAGAGGAAACTCTCCGGTTACAGGATCTGTTACACTCACCGAAGTTGGTATCCAGTTAATTTTCTCATGTTGTAGAGGCAAATGTTTTGATCGTGGTTGGTTACTTCTAAGTGGGTTTTCCTTTGCTCTCGGACCGTGTGAACTGCATGATGGGGGAGATGGAGTTTGTGTTTGCATTCTTTAGAATCTTTACCATATGTAGAGCAGAATTTCATCCAGCAGTCAGACATTTTTTGCTTTGACAACTAGGCTGTTTTCCCAGGCGCCCGGGCACCCAACTTCTGCCCGGGTACACGCCCGGGTGCCCGGCCGGGTATGACCCCCGGGCAGGGTTCTGGGCAGCCCCAGCGCCAAAAAAAAAAAAAAAAAAATCCTCAAAAAAATTCCGGAAAAAAAAATTGTTGTGTAGGATTGAAATACAAACGACTTTTGGCTGAGGGTCACATTATAATTACTCACAGAATCGGAGATAGAAAAGAAAATAACAGAATCACACAAAGGCACCCCCCTTTAGACCCCTTTAGCCCCTTTAAAACCAATTTATACCCCCCTTGACAGCCAGCTAGCAAAAACGAAATGAGCCTGGATTTTTTTTTATTTTTTTTTTTCAAGGCTAATTCTTTTAAGCCCAACCAATTCAATTACCTGTCAAATGTGGACAGGACAGCCTTTTCAGGCCTTTTTTATTGTCATTATAGTATTACGGGGAACCCCGTAGCAGCCACATCCGTGCTCAAGCCTCCAACGAGGGAACAGGCGGGAGCTGCACCCACCAGCAGGTGCGATACCTGCTACAGCAGGTGGGTGATACCGGCCAGGGGTCAGCCGGTAGCATCAGGACCGAGCTTCTTCGATGGGCCAGTCACTGTGCCTCCCCTCCGGTCCCCTCCCCCTATGAACATCAGCAGTATCTGCTCAATGCCACTCGGGGGGACCAACGGCATATCTCTAGGTGGCGGGCGCCAACCTTGCCCAGGAAGGTGCATGAGGCCAATGGGGATTGAA